CTAACTCTGACTAGCTGCCACCTGGGCCAACTAGAGCTTTAAACATAGCACAACCTGTGCCCGCACCACCATCTGTGGTGACACAGAGCCTGGCACACAGGAAGTGGTAGCGAGGACTTGTTACAGGGTGAATGAAAGTAATGGGGTGGGGAGCATCACCTTCCATCTCTCAGGGGCACCAAGTACCAGGAGCCTCCTCCTGCTCTCTGAAGTGATCAAAGTGTTAAGGGGGAGAGGGCCATGACATATGAAACTTACTGTTAAATGGTTCAGAAAAAAATTATGCGTGGATACATTTCTATGCATGAAGACAGACACATGGGGGGATAAGGCATCCCCACCTAGTGAACCCCTGGGTCCATAAGAGAAAAGAAGCAGCCTGCAGCTCTATAGCAGGGGTTAAGGACAGCCGGACATACACAAGCCCCTGGGAAAGATGTATAAATGGGGTCAGGCCAGATTTCTAGGATTAATCTCACCTCAGCCACTTAGCTTGATGAGCTCTGCATAGTCCAATTGCCCCATCTGTAAATGGGACTAATAACAGTACCTCATAGGGACTACCTAAGAATTAACTTAATCAGCATGTGTTGGTACTACAACAGTGCCTGGCACATAACACATCCTCAATCAAACCATATCAGACATGCATTTAAAAGAAACTCTGGCCCTGGCCTGTTTGGCTCAGCGGTTAGAGCATCGGCCTGCGGTCCGGAGAAACCCGGGTTCGGTTCCCGCTAAGGGCACGTACCTTGGTTGCAGTTTGTCCCCAGCCCTGGTTGGGTCGTATGGGTGACAACCACTCGATGTGTCCCTTTCACGTCCATGTTTCTCTCTCTCTCTCTCCCCCTCCCACTCTATCTGAACAAAATACTAAAAAATGTCCTCGGGTGAGGATAAAAAAGTAAAAATAAGAAAAAAAAAAAAAAAGAAACTCTGTCAAAAGGTAATTCAGCCCTGGCCGGTTTAGCTCGGTGGTTAGAGCGTCAGTCTGCGGTCCTGAGAGACCCGGGTTCGGTTCCCGCTAAGGGCACGTACCTCGGTTGCAGTTTGTCCCCGGCCCTGATTGGGTCTTATGGGTGGCAACCACTCGATGTGTCCCTTTCATGTCAATGTTTCTCTCTCTCTCCCCCTCCCACTCTATCTGAACAAAAAATGTCCTCGGGTGAGGATAAAAAAAAAAAAAGAAAAGGTCAAATTCAGCATTCTCACATTGTCCTTTGCCCCACTCTGTGTAAGGCCTCATTTCCTGGCTTGCATCAGAGAGGAGCCAAAAGTGGCTTGGTCCCTGTCCTCAAGGGTTCCACCTAGCAGAAATTAAGGACACCCTCCGAACCCACCTGTCTGCCTACCTGCCTCCCACCTGGGAAAAAGGTTCTGACTAGTGCCCTCCTCACACCCAAGTATGGGTCTAAGTCAGGATTCCAAGAGAAAGAATGCAGACTAGGACCAGAGAAGCACCCCCTACCTCAAAAAATGCCAGCCAGCAGACCCCTGCCTGGAAGGACACAAATAGCACACAAGGAGAATATCTGACCCAGAGTGAGATGTGCCCTTGCTGCCCAAAGTCAGGGAGCCAGTTGGAGTCCCCCAATTTTGCAGGGCAAGTCAAGATACCACTGGGACCTCTGCAAGGTCCTCATCTGGAGAGCCATGGCATGAGAAGAGTAACTTTGCTCCCTCTGCCAGAGCTGCCTCCCTGCCTCAAATCAGACCTAAGCATGACGTCTTCTGTGAAGCCCTCCCCTGCTTCACAACTACAAATGGTTGGGCACTTCTGCCACCTGCCTGGGCCCCCACACTCAGTGGATTGATTTACACCTCATCTCTCCTTCCACACCTAAAGAGTACTCCCAGAGGGAGGGGTTTATTCTCTCCATTTGAGCACCCCTAGTGATGGGCAGGCACCGAGCTCTCAAACACTTCTTGAATTGATGTGGACAGACAGAAAAAGAGTTGGGGACATTGGTCACCTCTATCATCCAGGCAGGAGACGCTGGACCTGGAACCAGAGGCACGCCAAGGAAGACAGGAGTGCATAGTATATGGCTTCACCCTCAGAGTCCAGTGGCCTGATGTGCAAAACTGGTACCCTGGAGCCAGAATAGGATGATGTCTCACCTCTCTACAGGTGTAGACATGTTTTCTAAAAAACTTAATCACAACAACCCACAATCCATTGGCTCTGGTCCCCAAGAGCCAATACTGTACCCTCCTAGACAGATGGCCCTTTTTCTTGGCTTCCATTCCTAACAAGGTTATCCCAGAACCAGTCAGCCTGCTACCCGGAGAACATAAAAAGCAGTGGGTAACCAGCTCTACTCAGGGAGCTCAGAGAAGTATTACTGGAGATACTCCAGATTGAGTGTGGGTCTAGGGCCTTGGCCACTAGGTAGACACTAGGGAGTCAAGAGGTTTGGTGTTTCTCAAGGTGGGAGCCTGGCTAGGGCACAGTGGAGGGCCACACACCACTGTGCTTCCCAGCCTGCCTTTACCCACTGAGGTCTGACAGAGCTCACAGAAGATGGCCCTGGGCACTTCCACCTTTAAAGACGCCTTCCTCCTCAGCTGGTGTGGCTCAGCAGTTGAGCGTCAACCCATGCACCAAGAGGTTGCTGGCTCAATTCCCAGTCAGGGCCATGCCCAGGCTGTGGGCCAAATCGCCAGTGGGAGGGCATAGGAGGTGGTCAGTCGATGTTCTCGCTTATTGATGTTTCTCTCTCTCCTTCTCCCTTCCTCTCTCTCTACAATTAATAAAGAAAAATAAATAAATAAAGACACCTTTCTGCATTAAAAAACAAAACAAAAATAAAGAATCATACTTTTCACCCTGGCTGGGTGGCTCAATTGGTTGGAGCATCGTCCAGTAAACCAAAAGGTTGAGGGTTTGATTCTCTGTCAGGTGGAATACCTAGGTTTCAGGTACAATCCCTATCCCCAGGGTGTGTACAGAGGGCAACCAATTAATGTTTCTTTCACGTCGATGTCTCTCTTTCTTTACCCTCCCTTCCTCTCTCTCTAAAATCAATTTAAAAAAATCACCCTGGCTGGTGTGGCTCAGCAGTTAGAGCATTGGCCTGCGAATCAAAGAGTCTCGGGTTCGATTCCCAGTCAAGGGCACGTACCTGGGTTGCAGGTTCAATCCTGAACCCCTCGGGTCATGCAGGAAGCAACCAACTAATGGTTTCTTTTTTTTTTTCTTTCTTTCTCTTTCTTTCTCTCTCGCTCTCACTCTGTCTCTTTTGCTCTCGCTCTCTTTCCCCCTCCCTCCCTCCCTTCTAAAAATCAATGGGGCCTGGCTGGTGTGGCTGAGTGGATAGAGTGTCATCTCATGGAATGAGAGGTCCCCGTTTGATTCCTGGTCAGGGCACGTGCCTGGTTTTGGGCTCCATCCCCAGTAGGGAGCATGCAGGAGGCAGCAGATGGATGTTCCTCTCTCACACTGATGTTTCTCTTTCTCCCTTCCTCGCTCCAAAAAAAAAAATCAACAAAAACATATATACACGTATGTGTGTGTGTATATATTTTATTCCTCACCTGAGAATATTTTTCTATTTATCTTCAGAGAGAGTGAGAAGGAGAAAGAGAGAGGGAAAGGGAAAGAAAGAGAAACATCGACATGAAAGGTACACATCAACTGGTTGCCTCCCGCACGACCTGGACCAGGACCCAGGACCAAATCACAGCCACAGAGGTAAGTGCCCTTGGCCAATCAAACCCGCAAGTCATTGGTCCACTGGCCCAAGCTCTCCCACTGAGCCAAACCAGTCAGGGCAACAAAAACATACTTTAAAAAATGAATAAATAAAGCCTTCATTTCTTAAATAAATAAATAAAAATCAATGGAAAAATATCATCAGGTGAGGATTAACAAAAAATAAAAATAAAATCAATAAAAACATATCCTCGGATGAGAATTATACATAAATTATTTTTTTATTTTGAAATTAAAAAAGAATCCCATTTTGCAACTGCATTGTTATAAAAATGAATGCCTATATGTGTACATTATATTCTCTTTGACCTAAAAGTTTGCTTTTTTAACCTGATGATTTTAAAAGAAATCAAACATTTTCACAGGCCCCTAAAAGTATTGTGGACCCCCAGCATTGCATCTCCTGTGCTTGTTAGAGAAATCATCCTGCATTGGGGGATTTAATTTTCTTGCTGCAGTTCAGAGTACACGAGAAACAGGAAGAGATTAAAAAATTGCCTGGGACCTTCTGGCTGCCATGAATGATTCTGAAACTCCACCACAGGCTTTTTTATGGAAACACAAGTTCCAAGGAAAGTCCTGAAGGCATTTAATCATCACACACAAGGAGCAGTTCTAAGTACCTGGCACTATCCAGGCTCCCACGACTGCGACACACCTGCGGAACAGCGCGTCAGTCTCTGCCCCAAGGACAGGCCAGCGCATGCTGGGCAGCCTCCTAGCACCTTCTCAGGTCCGGTCTCTGGGCTGAGTGCTTCTCAAGTGTAACACCTCACTGGGTGACAATAAGCGACCCGGCTACTGCTTTCCAGTAGAGGGGTTTCCAGGGCAGAGACGCTGGCATCAACCCACTGCTGGGCGGAAGCAAGGGAAACCAGGTGCCTCCATGAGCTGCTTTCTCGACCTAACCCCAGCCTAATCTCAGCCTCTGGACAAGCAAAGAGGGCGCAGTTCCTCGCAGAAGAACTCCATCACTCTCGCTTCCATCAACCTCAAAGCATGTAGCGCTCCACGGACGTGGACCGAAAGGCAACATCCCTCCAGAACTAAGTTCCATGGTGTATGAGGCGCTCGAGCCCAAGTAAACTCACGGCACGGTCCCTGCGGGGCACGGTCCCGGGAGGGGGATGCGGCGGCCCGCGGGGACTACACGACCGGCGTCCTCCCAGGGCGCTGCCCCGCCAGGTGGAGGGAGGTCCCGGACGACCCTGGCCCCGCCCGCTCCGCCCCCGGACTCCCGCCACGCCCACGCCCCCCCACCCACTGCGCCCGCAGCGCCGCGCACCTGGTCGGAGCGGCTCGGTGACTGTAAGCACGAGCAGGAAGAGCAGCAGGAAGGCACCGCTGTCTGCCTTGGGCACCATTTATCCTCCGTTCATCGTCCCCGGGGCGGCCGCGAGACTCCGCGGGGAGGCCGAACCAGGCCTGGCTGGGGGCGGGGGCTGGGCCGGGACGGGGTGAGAAGAGGCGGCGGGAAAGGGCTCCGGCTGGGCCCCAGCTGCACTGGGCCACGGTCTCGCGCACTCTCGCCTGAAGCCTCGGGTTCCGACTTCGGCTCCGCGCAAGATGGCGGCCGTCCTGTTCGGCTCCGCGACGCCCTGCCTCCCGCCCTCGACGCCGGCGCCAACCAATGAGCACCGAGAGAGGGGCGGGGCCTGTGCATTCCCGGTGCGTGCAGACCATTGGCCGAGCTGGGGCGGAGCCTGGGCTGTAGTGAGCGAAAGGGGCGAGGCCTAAGGTTGGGACAGTGAGGGGCGGGCCCGACGGGAGGGAGGGACTTAGGGAGTTAAGTTTGCCATTGGCTAAACAGAGAGGTGGGGCTCAGGAATGGAACCTGAGCAGTAGGGCCAACGAAGGGCTTAGGATTCTAGGGCTCAGGGCGGGGGCGGGGTGGGAAGGGCAAAGGGACCAAGTTGAGGGACACAGGAAAGGGCGGGGCCCAGTGGGGGCCAAAGGTGTGGAGCGGAGGCGTCGCGATTGGCCCAGGATGCCCAGTGAGAAAGAAGAGGGGCGGAATGCAGAGGGAGCTTAGGGGGATGGAGACACAAAGGGTCTCACACTTTGCACACCTGCAGGCCAAGGTCCTGTCCGCGGCCTAAGAGTGCACACTAAAGTGGTCTTTTTAAGAAGGGCTGCGCCCTGGCCTGGTGGCTTAGTTGGTTGGTGCACGGGAGTAGCTTGTGGTTGTGGGTTCCATTCCAATCAGGGCACATACCTTGGTTGCAGGTTCCATCCCTATTGGGGCATATATGGGAGGCAACTAATGGATGTTTCTCACATCGATGTTTCTCTCTCTCCCTTCCTCTCTCTCTAAAATCAATAAACATGGCCTCTCTCCCCCTCTCATTCCCTCTCTCTAAAATCAATAAAGAACAAAAAATCAATAAACATATCTTTGGGTGAGGATAAAAAAAATAAAAATTATAGCCCTGGCCGCGTTGGCTCAGTGGTAAGAGAGTCAGCCAGCTGTCCCAAGAGACCCAGGTTCAGTTCCCACTAAGGGCATGTACCTCGGTTCCAGTCCCCCCCCTACCCCCCCACCCCCAGCCCTGGTTGGGTCGTGCAGGTGGCAGCCACCAGATGTGTCCCTTTCACGTCGATGTCTCTCTCTTTCACTCCCTCCCACTCTATCTGAACAAAAAAATGGAAAAATGTCCTTGGGTGAAGATTAAAAAAATAAAAATTACAAATTTTTTTTTAAAAGAAGGGATGAGCCCTGGCCGGTTTGGTTCAGCGGTTAGAGCGTCAGCCCATGGTCCAGAGAGACCCGGGTTCGGTTGCCACTAAGGGCACGTACCTCGGTTGCAGTTTGTCCCTGGCCCCAGTTGGGGTCGGAGGCAGCCACTCGATGTGTCCCTTTCACGTCGATGTTTCTCTCTTTCCCTCTCTTCTTCTCTCTCCCTCCCATTCTATCTGAACAAAAATGGGAAAATGTCCTCAGGTGAGGATTAAAAAAAAGAAGGGATGAGAAAAACTGGAAGGACCCAGACTTTCCAGGAGATGAGAAAGGAGGATGGATGCTGTCAGGCACAGACAGATGTGCCTTCACTGGTACACACAACTGAAAAGGAGGAAGTAGCCTAAAGGCATGTTATACAAGGAGAGCTGACAGGGAAACCCTGATTCTATAGAGACTGTGTAGTAAAGCTGGCCTTTGGAGGAAGGGCCCTGCTTATAAAATAGGGGAGTAGGGGAAGGTATACTGACTAAGCACAGCTGCTGCCACATCAGGCCACATTTGCATAGAGGAAAGCCACTGGGGACAATGCTCTAAGTACTGACTTCAAACCTGTTATTGGGAACAAGGAGATCATGGATGGGGACATAGTTGACAGGGTGTTCTCAGCAGGAGAGAGAAGCAAGCTGTCCAAAGGTAGGACGGACCACCAACCATGCACACAAGGCCTGAACAGGGTGTCAGGGCTGGAAAAGAGGATGAAGCCCTGACCAGTGTGGCTCAGTTGGTTGAGCATCATCCCATGCACTGAAAGGTCACTGGCTCAATTCCCAGTCAGGGTACATGCCCAGTTGTAGGTTCAATCCCCATTTGGGATACGTGTAGGAGGCAAATGATGGATGTTTCTGTCTCACATCATGTATCTCTCTCCCTTTTCCTTTCTCTCTAAAAAAAAATCAGTAAAAACACATTTTTTTTAAAAAAAGGGTGAAGATGGGAGCAGAGAAATGGGCAAGGGCCAAAAGCTAGGGAGGACCCATCGGTAACTGACCCACCTCCAGCCCCACTGACTCACTCCCCAGGAGCAGTCCTCTCAAGTTACCTCAAGGCATGGTTCTAAGTGTCCCTTAGTCCTGGGACACTCAGGGTCATCTGAGAGAGAGGCACCCAGTCCCTCAGAGTGGATATGGCCAAGGTTAAACCCAAGACTAGGCCAGACCTGCCTGTTCCTGCTCCTCAGGTCTTGGCCCCAAGCATGTGCTACACAAAGGGGCTGTCACAGCAGTAGGGCTGCACTGCTGGCAGAAACTGGTCCCTGCCCAATGCTGACCTCTCTACTTGCATGGTCCTCAGGGAGCATTCCAGGAGCAGCTGATGACACTCAAAGCAGGATCCAGGTCCAGCTTCTGCCCCAGCCCCAGATCTGCCCTGGGAGCCCAGCCAAGGCTATGGTCTGGGCAGACCCCCAAGAAGGAACACACAGCCAAGAGCAGAAATCCCTGCCAGTTGTCCCCTGCCACAGCCACTGTTAGAGAAGCAGACTGGCAAAGGTTTGGATGAGGAAAGAAAAGTACAGGGAGTTGAAAATTCCAACCAAACCATGCAAGAGAGAGCAAAGCCCTGGCTTCTTAAAGGCAGTGAGTCCAGACCTGGAGTCTGCCCTTCCTGATCCACCTCCATTCTTTATCCTGCTGCATGGCCCCCAGGCCACCTGTGTGGACACAGGCAAGGGCTTCCAGGACTGAAGGAGAAAAAAAATCAGGGACGTTTCTCCCAGCTCCTTGCTTGTAGAGTCACTGTGGCCTCCACCTAAGGTTACTGCCTCTCTTAACGTCGCCTTCTCTACACTAATCTTCCAAGGTTCCAGGAATCATCCCTCCCTTCTTCCAGCAGTGTGTGATTACTGTTGGAGTTTCCTACACTCTTTTCCCACCTTTGTAAATTATGCCCTTATTAAACCCTCAGACTGCCCTAACTGGAGCATGTCTTGTTTCCTGCTGGGACCTGGACTGATAGGACTAATACAATCACCTGCCCTGGATATCCTGGATTGCTGTAATCAGCCCCACCATTCGTCAAGCAAGTCCTTGCTCTGGGTTTGGAGGCATGGGCAGACCAACATGTCCCCACTGTCCCCTGCTACCTTGGGTCCCAGCTAAGCACGAGGCCACTCTCTGTGGGCCTTTGGTCTGCTCTAGCCCACTGGCCAGCCTTCCAAAATTCCAAGTCCAAGTGGCTCAAGCCAGAGCCTCATTCCCCCAGGGTACTCCTTTGTGACTTCACCCACTGAAGTCACCTGGGAGACAATGCTGAACGTTCCACCCCAGAGGCTGGGCCTCTAGGAGGCAGGGACAGTAGGCCAGGCCAGCCTAGAGGACTCTCCGTCCACAGTGTAAATGAGGACACTGCTGGCCCATGTCTTGCAGGGATGTAGAGGGCAGCCTCAGAGGCACTCGGTGCTCCTGGCACCATGGATGATGCTGCCATCCTCAAGCGACGAGGCTATATCATGGGGATAAATTTGGGAGAGGGCTCATACGCAAAAGTCAAATCTGCTTACTCTGAGCGCCTAAAGTTCAACGTGGCGGTCAAGATCATCGACCGCAAGAAAGCCCCTGTGGACTTCTTGGAGAAATTCCTTCCCCGGGAAATTGAGGTCCTGACCATGCTAAATCACCGCTCCATTGTCAAGACCTATGAGATCTTTGAGACATCAGACGGCAAGGTCTATATTATCATGGAGCTTGGGGTCCAGGGTGACCTCCTTGAGTTCATCAAAACCCGGGGAGCCCTGCATGAAGACGATGCTCGCAAGAAGTTCCACCAGCTCTCCTCGGCCATCAAGTACTGCCACGACCTGGACATTGTGCACCGAGACCTCAAGTGCGAGAACCTTCTCCTTGACAAGGACTTCAACATCAAACTGTCTGACTTCGGCTTCTCCAAGCGCTGCCTGCGGGATGACAGTGGCCGACTGACACTGAGCAGGACCTTCTGTGGGTCGGCAGCTTACGCAGCCCCTGAGGTCCTGCAGGGCATCCCCTACCAACCCAAGATCTATGACATCTGGAGCCTGGGTGTGATCCTCTACATCATGGTCTGTGGCTCCATGCCCTACGATGACTCCAATATCAAGAAGATGCTGCGCATCCAGAAAGAGCACCGTGTCAACTTCCCTCGCTTCAAGAACCTATCGAGTGAGTGCAAGGACCTCATCTACCGCATGCTACAGCCAGATGTCAACCGGCGGCTGCACATCGATGAGATCCTCAGCCACTGCTGGGTGCAGCCCAGGCCCCGGGGCCTGTTCTCTGCAGTCATCAGCAATGAGGGGGAGAGTTCCCGGGGCACTGAGCCCTCATTCACCCCTGAGCCTGGTTCTGACAAGAAGTCTGTCACCAAGCTGGAGACTCAGGAGGAAGCCCAGCCTGAGGTGACGCCAGAGTCAAAACCTAAAGAGGAGATTCCACAAGAGCAGGTGTCAGATCAGTTGGAGACCATGACCACGAGTCCTGCCCTCACAGAGGAGCAGCCGGACAGGGAGACAGTGGAAGGGGGCTCTCCGAAGCCTCCAGAGATACACACCTAGTGAGCCACTCACACGGCCCAGGAGCTGGCAAGGAATGAGGCAGAGCTCACAGCCTCGAGCCTGAAATCCAAAACTGCCAAGGGATGAGCCATTGAAGGAAGACAGTCCCGGATGAGCCATTATTTTCGTCAGTTTTTTCCCCCTCCCTTTGAACTTGGTAACCCACATGGTAAAGAAGCAATAAATCACTATATTAGTGCAGACTCTAAGGTGAATGTCTTTGCCCCAGCTGACTGCGGTCATCCAAGGGAAGATCCATCCCATCATACCCCTACCCCCCAAGTTTGGAAAATATATCCCAGTGTGCCCAGTCCTGACCATGACCTCAGTACCTGGACCAGATCAGAGAGCTGGGTGAGTCCCCGGCCCTGGTTGGTCGTGCGGGTGGCAGCCACTTGGTGTGTTCCTTTCACATCGATGTTTCTCTCTCTCTCTCTGTTCCTCTCTCTCCCTCCCACTCTACCTGAACAAAAAATGGAAAAAAAAAAAAAAATGCCCTGGCCGGTTTGGCTCAGCGGTTGGAGCGTCGGCCTGCGGTACAGAGAGCTGGGTGAGGAAGATGCTGAATGAGAAAGATGCTGCTTCAAGAGAGAGGCTATGAGTGTGGTGCTGGTGGGGGAGGGGACGTGGAGAGGACAGGACCAAGGAGGGCAAAGTGGCTGCCTAAAGTGGAGGGGTGGGAGGAGGACCCATCAGGCTGCTGATGGAGAAGGACCTGCAGAGGGTAGGTGAGCCAGCTTCTCAGACTCTCTTGAGCTCCTCACCCTGATGCGCAACTTAGTTTTCCTGCTCTGTCCACCAGGGGTTCCTTCGTGTACAGTTGGCTCCCAGTTCTCAATGGTGCCCTGAGTCATCCTACCTTGTGGTCTTTCCCCTGGCCCAGGGGAAGCAGGGGACACTGCTGGACAGCCCAGCCACACTCCAGTCTGCATGTCCCACAACTGTGTGGCCCTGACCACACCCTGTTCCCCTCTAATCCCAGTCTGTCCCCAGGGTGACACTCTGCCAGAGTAGGTAAACTGATACTGGTGAGTAGGAGACAAGACAGGTATCCTCACAACGCATGTCTGACCACCGCGGCTATCTGTGTCCCACAGAGGGAGCAGGCTTGCACATAGCATCACTAATCCCCACGTTCCGCAGGGCCCTGTCCACCTGCCCGCCCTTATGCAGCCCTCACCTCTGCTGTGATGGCCCTTTCTCTTCCTGCCCTGCACTCACTCTGACAACCTCATGTGGACTTGCAGGGTTAACACACCAAGAGGGTAAGAGCCTTCAGACTCACCCTTCTCCTACATCTCTGATCTGGGAAGATCTCAACCCCAGCCCTCTGGGAGAAGTGAGATTCAGTGAGTGCCCCAGACCTGCCCTCTGCAACCCACCCCAAAGTTAGTCCAGTGCTCTGCTTGGCTCCTCCATTCCCACAGCCACATTCACATGGACTGTGTTCTCACACCTCTGTGTTCCTGTGTCATGGCCCAGCCACCACCGAGGCCTTTGTCCCTCCCCTGCCATTGCCTCCCACAGAACCCAGTCTGGCTCCCTCTGCTGAGGGAAGGATCCCAGTGCCCAGCCATGGAGGTCTTCCCAGGTCTGGTCTCTTCCTGGCCTTCCAGCCTCCTCTGTCGTCCCCACACCTCACCCATACATGTTATAATCATCCCTGCAAACCTTGCCTATCTCTCCAGGCTCAGCTGAGGGGCCATGGCCTCCACAAGGCCTTCTGGAGCCCCAACAGCACTCAGCAGTCGGTCACTGAGTGCCAGAGCAGGCCAGTGCGTACCCAGGGTCCAGGCACAGAATGGACCCTGAATAATACTGGAGCACCCACCTAATTTTGTAGTGAAGACTGAAGGTTCCAGGAGCCCAGTCATGCAGCTTGTCTGCTGGTGGAGTGGGATTGAGATGAGGACACCCTGAGGAGAGGCTCATGAGTCACCTCCTCTCGGTCATGTCTGCAGCCTGCGGCAGTCCTCAGGGCAGTGGGCAGTGAGCGACAAGAGGGCCTGGGACTCTCACTGCAGCTCAGCTAGGAGGTGAGAGCCTGGGCGGGGGGGGGGGGGGGGGGGGGGGGCGGGGGAAGGAGCATTTACTGTGTGCTTTCCAGGCTGGGAGACAGCTCAGAGAGGACAGAAGACTTCCTGAATCACACAGCATGGAGTGGAAGCCTGGGTGACTGAAGCCACACCTTCCCACGTGGCCTCATATCCTGGCCACTCCTGTGAGCAGCTCAGCCCACCGGGTTCGGCCCTGGCTTAGACTTCTTCAGTGACCCCATAAAGGCTTTAGGATCAAGACCCTCAACATCGACGCTGTGGCCCACAGTGTTCTCTCCCGCCCCTGCACACTGTTGACACATTATCATTCAGGCCATGATGTGCACGAGCAGTCCTCGTCCTCCTCCATGTGGCTAACTCCTAAGACCTCAGCCTTCCCAACCTTCCCAGCCTTCCCAAGTCCAGCCCCCAGTTCTGTCCTCACAGCTCCATGTTTTCGCTGTCACTATTGGGCATTCACACTCATTGGTGTGACACTGAACCTCCCCGGTCTCTGGGCTCCAAGAAGGCATGGGTTCTTTCTAGTTCATCAGTGTAAGTCCAGCACCTGGAACTGACCCTCAAATGCCTATGGGATGAATGGACAAATCGGTGCCCAATTTATGGAGAAAACCAAAGCTCAGGAGTGGCCTTCCCAGAGTCTGCAGGTCTCTGACCCACAGGACTGCCAGTTAGGACTTCTGCTGGAGGTCCCCTGGTCCAATCTAACATTCCTGCCTCCAACACACCAAGAGTTCCTGCTTCTGCATGCACATCCTGGGCAAAGTGGGTCAGTAGAGTCGGTCAAGAAGGAAGACATGCAGGAGCAGCCCAGATAGAACATTTGGGGTGCAAGAGAAAGTGGGGGTAGAGTCATCCTCACCTAGTTATGAGGACAGAGCTTGGTTCTGGCCTGAAAATCCTCACAGCCAGCCCCTTCTGGGACACAAAGGAGTGAAGTTCTTGTCATTTAGGCCAATAAGAGCCCCCAGGAGAAAGTGGCCTCAGGAAGAAGGCAGGCCTTGGGCAGAAAGCAGGCCTTGGGGAGAGAGCAGGCCTTGGGGAGAAGGCGGGCCTCAGGGAGGCCTGGCTGCTGGAGGGTAGTTGCTTGGCTGTGGGCACTCCCTGCTGGGACCAGTCTCTCCTGCCTGGCACCTGGATTCTGGCTGCCCTGCCACTGCTAACTTCCACATGGACCTCCAGACACAGGGACCTCCCCACGTGCTCCAAGCACAGCCATGCTCCAGTCAACATGCTACATCTGCCTGCCGTGTCTTGCCCTTGTCAACCTGGTGGAGCCCTACTGATGTACTGCACGCCAGCTCCTCTGTCAGCCCCTCACACCCACACAGAAGTGGCCTTCCTTCCTGTCCCAAACACGGAGTCCATGGCACACCTGTCCTGACAATTTGCTACGTGTGGGCACAGCATGCCTGTGACAGAAAACAAATGAACAGCAGGGCTTCCGAAGTACCTAAGGAGATGTATACAGGAGGCCATATTTTCCAAAGCAGAACTCCATACATGTGCCCTGAAAAGGGGTTTTCACATTGTTTCCAGGTGCAAAATACAGTTACATTGTTTCCAGCACAAACTATGTGCTCTCCCAGGGTTCTAACAGCTACAACATGCCACTCCTCACAAATGCCCAAACTGATATAAGCACCCAGGTGCTTGCTCTTAACAGTTGATGATCTGGGTGCTGCAGGCCCTCAGCACCCCCAGAACCCCCAGCACCAGATCCACCCAGGGCCCTGCTGGATCACTGATCAGCATACTATACTCTGTTGTCTCCGTCTGTCGCCCAGAACCCCGAGGCCCGCCTCCTACTGACTGGTCAAAGGCACTGTCCTCCACTCACCCCAAAGCCCATTCTCTATGTTGACATCTTTGATATTTTTTTTTTAAGAGAGAGAAGAAGCGAGAGATAGACACATCAATGTGAGAGATACATCTATCAGCTGCCTCCTGCATGCCCCCTACTGGGGAATCAAGCCCACAACTTGGGCATGTGCCCTGACTTGGAATCGACTGGGACCTCGCAGTCCATGGGATGATGCTCAATCCACTGAGCCACACTGGCCGGGCTATGCTGCTATCTTAAAATGTGAGTTGGGTCACAGCTCTTCTTGCCCTGTGCCCTGCAATAGCTGCCCAACCCTCAGGAAAAAGCCCCACTTACCTTTTCCCCCACCTCTCTCCTGTCTGTGGGATTCAACTATTCTTAGAACAAGCCCTCTCCTCTCCCAGGCTCTTCCCTACCCAGATGCCTCATCACCTCCTCTACTGGCTGAATCTTGACTTATCCCTCAGGCCTGCCCCAGTCCTCAGAACACATTTGCCAGCCTGGGGCCTTGCAACACCCCAGAGCCCTGCCTGCCCTCCACCCACACGCCCTGCTCACTGCAGCAGCGGCAGCGGCACTCATCCACTCATCTAACCCCAAAGAGAAGCTGCCCTTGTCCACTAAGCTTGGGACCACTGCCAGCCTGGCCAGACCAGAGCAGTCCCTCCCAGACACCACCACTTCTGAGTACACAAGCCCTAGATGGAGTTTTCTTCACACCCCAAAGAAGATGCAGGAAACTAACCTGAATGAGTCAGGAACCAATGCAGGGTCAGTCCCCACAGCAGGGACAGAAAAACTAGACCGGGACTGGCACTTCAGATGGACCTGGGCAGCCCTCACCTTGGGCCTGACTCATGACAGCGAAGCCACAGTGAGGAGGAGCAGGAAGAGTTACCACAGTCCTGGGTACTGCCTTCTTTCCAGTGGGCACTCCTTCTAGGCCAACCTGGCTTCCAGGGTTCCAGGGGCCCTGATTCCCCCAGGCCCAGTACACTCCCGGCTGCCTGGCTTTATGACTTCACAAACTGAAGTCACATGGAGATAATGCTGAGCATTCCACAAGTCCAGGCCAGTCCAGCCAGACGGCTCCCCACACTGTAAATGAGGACAATGTTCACTGGCACACGTGAGGAGGGGATGTAGAGGGCAGTGGCACCGGCCACTCCTGGCACCATGGACGATGCCGCGGTCCTAAGGAAAAAGGGTTACATCGTAGGTATCAATCTCGGCAAGGGCTCCTACGCAAAAGTCAAATCAGCCTACTCGGAGCGCCTCAAGTTCAACGTGGCGGTCAAGATCATTGACCGCAAGAAAACGCCCACCGACTTTGTGGAGAGATTCCTTCCTCGGGAGATGGACATCCTGGCAACTGTCAATCACCGCTCCATCATCAAGACCTACGAGATCTTCGAGACCTCAGATGGGCGCATCTACATTGTCATGGAGCTTGGGGTCCAGGGAGACCTCCTTGAGTTCATCAAGTGCCGGGGGGCCCTGCATGAGGATGTGGCTCGCAAGATGTTCCGCCAGCTTTCCTCAGCCGTCAAGTACTGCCATGACCTGGATGTTGTCCACCGAGATCTCAAGTGCGAGAACCTTCTCCTTGACAAGGACTTCAACATCAAGCTGTCTGACTTCGGCTTCTCCAAGCGCTGCCTGCGGGACTGCAGTGGGCGCATCATCCTCAGCAAGACCTTCTGTGGGTCGGCAGCGTATGCAGCCCCCGAGGTCCTGCAGGGCATCCCCTACCAGCCCAAGGTCTATGACATCTGGAGCCTGGGTGTGATCCTCTACATCATGGTCTGTGGCTCCATGCCCTACGATGACTCTGACATCAAGAAGATGCTGCGCATTCAGAAGGAGCACCGCGTGGAATTCCCGCGCTCCAAGAACCTGACGGGTGAGTGCAAGGACCTCATCTACCGTATCCTGCAGCCGGACGTCAACCGGCGGCTGCACATCGATGAGATCCTCAGCCACTCATGGCTGCAGGCCCCCAAGCCCAAAGCCATGTCTTCTGCCTCCTTCAAGAGGGAGGGTGAGGGCAAGTATAGGGCCGAGTGCAAACTGGACACCCGTCCAGGCTCATGCCCTGAGCACCGGCTGGATCACAAGCTGGGGGCCAAAACCCAGCACCGGCTGCATGTGGTGCCCGAGAATGAGGACAAAATGGAGGACAGGCTGGCCGAGACCTCCAAGGCAAAGGACCATCACGTCTCTGGAGCCGAGGTGGGGAAGGCAGGTACCTAGGGTGCAGAGGTCGTGGTGCATGGTGGCGCCCACGTAAACTAAGTAGGCAGGTAGGAGCTGAAGAAGGCACAGGTGCAAGGAACAAGTAAAATCTGTCAATTAAACCACTATTTTGATTACGTTCTATTAGCTTTCTTCCACTTAGTAGCAAAGGCATTAATTACTAACCACCAAATAAACACAAAGTGTAAACAAGCATCAAGAATGGCCCCTGAGGAGTCTTTTTCCCTAGGACACAGCCAACCACCCTCCCTCAAGCACGGGTATCTCCAGCATAGGGGTTCACGGACCAGTGCTCGGTACAGGTACTCATGGAGAGGCCTTGTGGGCAAGAAGATGGCAGTCACGGACCATCTGCCTGGCTCCCACTGGTCTCTCTCTAATTTGCCTATGCCCAGAGCCTCCAGGCCTGGCCAGGTGCATATCTCCCACCTCAGGTGCAACACAGCCCGCTCTGACCCCCACCCCACTCCCTCAGACAGCTATTCCTCAAAGTTCTTCTCTCCCTCCCTCCCCTCCAGTCCCCTCTCCCCTGGAACATCCCCTGGGCAGGCAACCCTAGCCGAGACCTCTGACCTACACCCTCTCCATTGCATCCTGATCACCCCACACAGCAGCCCTATTTTGTCTGGAAGTGGTCAGCACCTGGCCTTAGGTGGCCTTGACTGGACAGCGTCTCTCTGTATCTCACTCATGCCCACTCAGACATCTGCCTCCCCACTTCCTGGGGGCACCCTCAGGTCCAAGGCCACCCTTCCCTATGGGGGAAAAGCACCAAAACCCAATTTTCCAGTCCCAGCTCTTGGCCCGAGCTCACCTGCTATGCCTACCCCTAGCCCCCCTGGTAAGTCACAGGGTACAGTCAGGACTCAACCCCTGGGAGCTTGTAGAAACTATCCAAGAGCACAAGTTAGTGGTGCCCAGGCAGGCAGCAGGCCGTGCACCAGCCTCCTGAAGATACTGGCACTCGTGGAGGGCTGAAGAGGACCGATGCAGGAGTACCCAGGAAGATGGCCTAGTGCGCTCTGGGTGTGCTTGAAGCAGGGTTCCAGTCTGAGGGATTCCAGGTTGCCTCCCCGAGCAGTGAGCCTCCAAAGGCACAATCTGACCCCACTTGAGGCCAGAAGAGACCCATCTGGCAAGCAGCCATGGTCTTGGGCCCCCGACCTCCATGTGAAGCAGCTGGCCCTGGGTCCCCTGGGGATCGAGCACTAATACACTCAGGCTGCTGAGCAAGTGCTGGCTGATGGTGCAAATGGTGCTGTCAGGTCTGCACGGAGCCAGGTCCCATTGCTTGACATTGTGGCCCAGGTTACTGTTACCTGGGCCACTACTGGTGTGAGTGACGAGGTGAGATTGGTGACTCAGCAGCCGAAAACTGGCAGTGCCAGGTGCACTGGGGAGAAGGGCAGGAAGATGGAGACAGCCCTGCCCCACTTGAGCTAGAAACCAGGTGCTTGGAGGTCATGGTGAGGCCACTGGGAAGGTACCCCATGCGGGACTGTGGCCTAACACCTATGTAGGACCCATGAAGCCGTCACTAGCAAACCATGCAGACGAGGCCTGGCTGGGGAGGCTGCAGACCTGGGCTCAGAGCCTCAGGTGAACCTTAGAGGCTGAACTCCCAAGGGCTCCATCCTTCCCTCAGAGGAACAGAACTTGGGGCAGGGGAGAGAGGGTGTAGGGACCAATATGTTGTGAGCTCAGCTCAGAGGGTTTGAAGCCCAGTAGTGCCACAGAAAGCAATGCGGGTGGTGGCAGGAAAGAGGAGACGCCCTGGCCCTCTGAGGGTCACCCCATACAGCACCTTCCTCCCATGGTCCTGAGACCTCAATGCACACAGCAGGACGAAGGGACGGCCTTGCAGACCGTGCTAGGTGTTCTTTAATTCCAGTTAAATAGAAATGGGCAGGGGTTCCATAGAAAAAAGTACCAGCAAAGCCCTTGGATACACCCAAGGGCCATAGGATGGGTCCTGTGCCAGAGTGGCTGACATGGCACCTATCTTCTGTGGCTCCTGGGACAGCCACTGCTTTTGGCCCGGGCCTGGGTCCCCAGAAGGCCAGAGTCCTCTGCTGGGTGGCAGCTGCCCTGCAGGCTCCATAAATATCCCATGAGCCCAGCCTGGCCCGGCCCTAGAAGAAGTCTGAGGCTTTGCGCCGGGCTGGGAGCTGCAGCAGGTTGTCCGTGATGGAGGCCGGGTCCTGGCTGAGGGGGGTGCGTGTGGCAGAGCCAGGAACTGGTGTGCTCGTCGGGGTCTGGGGCCCGCCGGCTGGGGTCTTGAGGTGGGTTGAGCGTGCTGGGGACGGTGTGTAGCTGGCCCGTAGGGCCCGGTCTGTGTACTTGCTGGCTGTCCTGCTCACAAGGCGCTGCAGGGCTGGGGACATGGCTGGACTCAGGCCTTTGGGGGTGAGGCTGGGGTGAAGGGGAGAGCAAGAGAGGTAGAATTAGGCTGGATGGGGCACCGTCAGCAACAGGACCTGCCACAGCTCCCCAGGAAGACACATGGGAGACTGGTGGTCATTCTGGGTTGAGGACACCAGTAGCCTGGCGAACAGCAGTGTGGCCAAACTGGAGGTGGAGTGCTAGTGCTACCCTTGGCCGTGGGGCTGGGGTGCACCCCAAGTTTCTCTAAGGGAAATGACACCCATCTTCAGAGGGCTGACAAGAGCTCACAGTAGGAGAACAGGCCTAAAGGTGCCTTTTAGGGATGTGCCTAAGAGGAGGTGGAAGAAAAGATGGAGGGGTCCCCGATCTTGGTTCACATAGGACCTCGCTCTGAACAGAGGAGCTGCCCCTGGACCCACCAAGGACCCTTGGGAATGCCCTTCAGAACAAAGTCCACACTGTGGGGGATGAGGCCAAGTGGGAACAGAGAGAAACCCCATGAGGGTTAGACAAGCCTTACCTGGCCAGGTTCTCCGTCACTCTCCGCAAGGCCTCTTGCTTCTTGGCCCGGTTCTTGGCAGCAGCCTCATTGGCCATCTTCAGCCCCAGCCGCTCCCTGCGGCCCGGCTCCAAGATCTACAAAATAGGGGTGTGGGTGGCCTGGGCCAGCTTGCTGGAGGGGCTGCCTCTTCCCATGGCCCCCACAATCCCAACAAACTGCAAGTAGACTAGAGCACCTCATCTTCCCAATACCTCTCCCAGGACCTACCTGCCTGCCCACTTTCCCACACCATCCTGGGCCACCTCCATCTCTGCAAGAGGCCTCTCTGTGCAAGCACACAGCCCTTTTGAGGACATCCACCACACCCCATGAACACTGGGGTTCTGGGACCCTTCCTAGCCCTCAGGCCTGCAGCACAGTCGGAGCTACAGGTCTCCCTCTGAAACCACCTGTTACCTTTGAGCAGCCCTGTGCTCTGGCCTGCAGGCTCAGAGGAGCCGCAGCCATCCCTGCCTTGGTGCCTTGGCCCCATCCTGCCAGTCCTTTCTTGGCAACACCATCCATTCACCCACATCTGTCCCCACTGCCCTGGCCCCATGCAGAGGTACAGTGCCTGAGCAGGTGCACGGCCTGGCTCATGGCTCTGTGCACTGATCTACAGGTACTCAGAAAACCATATGTCCACCTGAGGTCCCATCTATGCTCCCCTCACCATGACTCACCTTGAAGGCTGGCCCTGGTGTCCTGTCCACATAGGGGGTTTCCGATCCTTCCACTCTCACAGGTGTGTTCTCAACCTCCCCCCAGGTCATCAGTGGAGACTCGTTCACACCTGCAGATGGAAAGCCCACAGCCACCTCAGGCTAGGGAACCCAGGTGGGGGCGCAGCCCGGGCCCTCCCTCCCACCACAGCCATCACCCCACCCCCAAGCCTATTCCAGCTAACAAACACCAGGCTGGCTGCTGGCCCTCTCTCCTTACCCAGTGCTCTGGAACCCTGGTATCTCTGACCTCTGAGAGTGAAACACAAAGGCCACTATGGGCCCAAGCAGGCCCAGAGCCTACAGCCAAGGGGCTTAGCCTGGAGGAGGGAGCTCCCTAGAGAAGCTAGACTGGGTCAGCAAGGCCCCTTCCTAGCACAGGGCCAGGGGAGCTTCCCACCCCAGGGAAGAGGCCCTCAGGCGTTTCCAGAGCTCCCATATCTCCCAGGACCCTGGGCAAATCTGTGGCACCTCCACATGTCCTAGCCTGTGTCATGGCATCTAGCTCCCAGAGCACAAGGGCCAGTGCATAGGAGGGCAGAGGGACAGCGTGTGTGCTGAGAGACCACCCCCTCGGCTCATACACCTTCTCTGTGAGGAGATGCAGGCCTGGGGCCCAGAGACCCCTCCTTACAGTGCTCTCTGGATGTAGGTTTGTAAGCATGGTGCACCTGCTAACATGAGACCCAAAACTAGGAAACATTAGACCAGGACTGAGGGGACATCCAACCCAGACCAGTAGCAGGATATCGACGGCCTGAGAGAGGGACACATGACCTTGCAGCTCCCCCAAGGCCTATCTTGCCCACCCCGCACAGGCCGGGCATGGCCCCTTGAGGTCCCAGGTACACCCAGACTCCTGCAGACAGCCTGCCTTCCACATACATCTACATAGGAAGATGGCTGTCTGGCAGCCTGCTGGACCAGACTGCGCTCACTGCAAATCAGGCCCCAGCCCTCCCTCTGCACCCCTCAGCATGCTCACCACACCAGTCTGTCCAGCAGAGCCTCAACACCCCTGGATCTGACAAACTCAGTCTGTCCTGCCCAGCTCAGGGCAAGGAACAGAGATCACCCAGCTAAACAGACCAGGCCCCATACATCTCAGTTTGGCTCTGCCTGGGAATCCAGCCCTATCCTTGTGGATGGGACACTGAGTCCCTGAATCACACAAGGTGAGGGACAGACCCTAGGGGAGTGCCAAGAATGGCCAGGGCCAACCGAGCAGTCCACCTCCCCCAGACCATCCCATAGGTGGCCAGCTAGCCAATGGACACATTTCTCACCAGGGGCAGGAGAAGGGGTGGCAACAAATCCAAATCCGCCCACTCGAGGGGATTCCTGGGGGATCAGCTCCTTGCCATCGGGGCCCACTTTGCCCTGTTTGTGCTGGAACAAGCAGAAAAACTAGTGTCAGGGGGCCCAAGACCACTGTCCCCCACTGGCGGTTGGGCAGGTGCACAGGAACA